TCTCAGCTGCTGGTTTTGAGATGGCAACCCGTCTCGACTGCTGGTTTTGAGATGCCAGCCAGTCTCGACTGCTGGTTTTGAGATGCCAGCCTGTCTTGGCTGCTGGTTTTGAGATGCCAGCCTGTCTCGGCTGCTGGTTTTGAGATGCCAGCCAGTCTCGACTGCTAGTTTTGAGATGCCAGCCAGTCTCGGCTGCTGGTTTTGAGATGCCAGCCAGTCTCGACTGCTGGCATTGAGATGCCAGCTTGTCCCACTACTGGCTTTGAGATGCCAGCTTGTCCCACTACTGGCTTTGAGATGCCAGCCTTTCTCGGCTGCCAATTAAGAGATGCCAGGCTTGCAAGCTGGATCAACAGATGATTAATATAGCTGTGTGACAGATTACTACGGAGCAACTATGAGATCATTGTATTCTTCAATGAGATGTTTTTAATTTAATCCACTTAACATGATCAGTACTAAACACTGAGCAAGTAATTGCAGCTATCAATTCTTGAAGCTAGCATATTGTTTTGCCTTTATGTGCAATATGATTATTTAGTAGATAATTCATTGTGTTGGATTACTGTCTGCTAATTCTTTCATGTGTACAGTCAGTAGAGTTTTATTTTTACCACTGACTGCCAACTTTTTAAACTACATATTAACTGTATAGCATTTTCTTAAAAAAAAACAGAAATAACTGTTGATAACTGTACTAAATGTGTTTGCTTAGTTTATCCATATATTCTTGTGGTTTGCGATTTTTCTGTCAGTATTTATAGTCAATGCCAAGATCCCTTCCTTCGAAGTATATTACTATGTGTACCTAGCTCAGTTCAGTCCAAGCAGAAGTTTATGTGAGAGTCCATTTTATCAATGACACAGGGACAGGCAACTGCAGTATTTCTCTTGAATTGAAATGTAATTTTGAGTGTTCGGTGTGCAATATTTGAATATATAATCTTTATTCATTGATTCTTTGCCACAGTACATGAGCAGTAGTGCCTAAAATAGTCTGTTGTGAAATTATTTGGTACAGCATGTTTTTAAAAACTGGTTACAAAAACTACTGGAAAGGGGTTACTAAGTATATGGCACTTGTGGATTTGTTGTGCTCATCCAAACGCTTAACAGAATGCACAAAACATTGTTCTATTCCTTGGATGTTTACTGCTGTTGCTTGTCTCTGTATTCTTTAGTTTTTGTTTTTAGTTGGCTTTCACTCCCCATAAAGCGGATACCATTGCCATTTGTAGTATTCACAAATATTACTAAGATTACTCCCCAAGTTTAACCAAACTGAATGTTGTGCTCAGACTTTTCAGTATTTTATAGTGGCCTACATTAGAGAAACCCATTTGGTACTTTGTTTACAGAATCTTTTTATAATTGACAAATTATGCAGTACAAGTTTTCCAGTCTTGAGCACCAAAACAATCTGAATAAGACAGGACCTTGGTTGATTGAAACAAAATTCATGTTTACTCTTGTAAATAATGGCATCATAAAGTAATTGTGTTTTGTAATGTTGCAGAAGATTGTGTTTTAGATTGTTGGTGACCTTGTTGCTATCTGATTGATGGCAGTAGTTGTGGCAATCATGAACGGGCTGTTCATATTGAACAAATGCTAACTATAGGGAGGAGGTTTACTGGGGCTGAGATTTGTTATTACATAATATCATATTCATTCCAAGTGATTAGATTATTTATACTTTTGTTCAAAGTGACCTTTGGTTTTTTGTCGAGTTTGCAGAGTGTTCTAATTGAACCACAACTTCAAATTGTATTGTATGATTTTACATCCATTTTGTGACCGTTTTATACTGAACATCTGTCTCAGAAATTCAGACTCATATAAGAACAGATTGGCTGATATTATTCCAGACTTGATTGACAACAGACTGACTGTTTCATCAACACTTGATATTATTCCGGACTTCATTGATAACAGACTGACTGTTTCATCAACACATGATATTATTCCAGACTTCATTGACAACAGACTGACTTTCATCAACACTTGATATTATTCCAGACTTCATTGATAACAGACTGACCGTTTCATCAACACTTTATATTATTCCGGACTTCATTGATAACAGACTGACTGTTTCATCAACACTTGATATTATTCCGGACTTCATTGACAACAGACTGACTGTTTCATCAACACTTGATATTATTCCAGACTTGATTGATAACAGACTGACTGTTTCATCAATACTTGATATTATTCCAGACTTCATTGATAACAGACTGACTGTTTCATCAACACATGATATTATTCCGGACTTCATTGATAACAGACTGACTGTTTCATCAACACATGATATTATTCCAGACTTCATTGACAACAGACTGACTGTTTCATCAACACTTGATATTATTCCAGATTTGATTGACAACAGACTGACTGTTTCATCAACACATGATATTATTCCGGACTTCATTGATAACAGACTGACTGTTTCATCAACATAGATATTATTCCGGACTTCATTGATAACGGACTGACTGTTTCATCAACACATGATATTATTCCGGACTTCATTGATAACGGACTGACTGTTTCATCAACACATGATATTATTCTGGACTTAATTGATAACAGACTGACTGTTTCATCAACACATGATATTATTCCGGACTTCATTGATAACGGACTGACTGTTTCATCAACACATGATATTAATCTGGACTTCATTGATAACAGACTGACTGTTTCATCAACACATGATATTATTCCGGACTTCATTGATAACGGACTGACTGTTTCATCAACA